TACACAAATAACAGACTCACTGAGAGAGAAATTAGGGAAACAATTCCTTTTACAATAGCATCCAAAAAAGTGACATATCTAGGAATCAGTCTAACAAAGGAAGCAAAAGACCTCTACACTGAAAACTACAGGACCCTGAGAAAAGAGATTGAAGAGGATATAAGAAAATGGAAAGACATCCCTTGCTCCTGGGTAGGAAGAACCAAAAGAGTGAAAATGGCCATACTCCCAAAACTGCTATGTAGATTTAATGCAATGCCAATTGAAATTCCAAGATATTTCACAGAACTAGAGAAAACAATCCAAAAATTCATTTGGATCCAGAAGAGACCTAGAATAGCAAAAGCAATTCTAGGCAACAGAGAAATGGCTGGGGGTATCACAATCCCCACTTGAAACTATACTACAAAGCTACTGTGATAAAATCAGCATGGTATTGGCAAAGAAACAGACCTGAGAATCAGTGGAATAGATTATCGCTTCTCGGCCTTTTGGCTAAGATCAAGTGCAGTGGAATAGATTAGAAGAGGCAGAAACAACTCCAAACATACTCAGCCACCTCCTCTTTGACAAAGGTGCCAACCACCCTCACTGGAGGAAAGAAAGCCTCTTTAATAAATGGAAAAACTGGATTTCAACCTGCCAAAGATGAAAACTAGACCCGTACTTATCACCATGCGCTAAACTAAGATCAAAGTGGATTAAAGATCTAAATATTAAAACAGAAACACTAAAGTTGCTGGAAGATAAGTCAGGTAGAACTCTTGAAGACATTGGCATAGCAAAAGACTTTATGAACAAAACCTCAGTAGCACGGGAACTAGCACAAAGAATCAACTGGGATCTCATCTTATTGAAAAGTTTCTGCACTGCAAGAGAAACCACCAATAGAGCTAAGAGATAACCTACAATGTGGGAAAAAATTTTTAGCAGCTGTACCTCAGACAAAGAACTGCTATCTAGAATATATAAAGAACCAAAAAAAATCAGACCCCAAATTCAAAGACCCAGTTCAAAAATGGGCATCTGAAATGAACAGAAATTTCTCAGACAAAGAAGTAAAAGCAGCAAATAAACATATGAAAAAATGTTCAACATCACTGGTCATTCGAGAGATGCAGATGAAAA